ATAGGTTTGTTTGGAGTGAAGAAACTCAAGGGCTGGACCCAAACACAATCAGTTAACATTTGATAACAACATTAGTTTGTTTGGGTTTTTTTTTTAGCTGTTTTTAGCGAAAGAAAAATGAAAAATGCATCGGTTTTTGGAGATTTGAGTTATAAATAGTTTCTTCGTTTCAAGTTCTGATTTCCTCGCCTTGAGAACTGTATCGGGCATATTCAAGCCTTGCAAACTGGCTTGCAGTGTGGACGTCTGAAACAATATACTGCCTCGTAATGAGCTGAATATGAAATATTCGCTACACTGATCACGTAAGAAATTGTAAAATTGGAGCGCGCGCACTGCAATAACAAAATTCATGAATGTCCTGTGATGAAAATGCTCCATATCGATTTCTACTCACCGTGAATAAGATTTACTCCAGAAACTAAAAGCAATAAATAACTCCATCGTTGAGACATGTATTTGAAACAGTTTCACTATCATAACGGCTAATATTRCATCAATCTATGATTATGACGTCATGAAACATGATGAGCCTGCAATCACATGAGTGAATTTAGGAAACATTCGCCCAAACTACGAGGCATCCCTGAGAGCACCGATTTCTCACCGGAATACTGCTGTTAACACCAGTWTCAACCCTTAGTTTTTAGATCATTTTGACCATATCTGGCCTYGGCCTCGTCCCCGGGAAACTCTTTTTTTTTTCTCCTTCGAACTGCCTGTAAGGGACTAGTGACGAGAAAGTAAAAAGACAGGAAGCCCGTGACTCTTAATGATGCCTGTGGATTTAAAAGCCTCATCCGACCTGTACGTTAGCTTGAAAGTGTGCTAATTGTTTGATAAAGACTGAAACCTTGAGCCGGCCGACAGASTATCGGCCGCATCGAAATGAGGAAAAAATTGCAGGAGGTCAAGGAAACACTAGACATAGCACTTAGCATGATTTGTTCAAAGAGGAGGGAAATCCMGAGGCTATGGTTTTATCGGCGTCTATTATGAACATCATTATTTTATCATATGAATGATTCTTAAGTACTTTATTATCACATTTACTTTAGCAGCAATTAGATGYTGTTTATTAAGTAATCGCCATGGTAAAAGACATCGCGCGACTGCAAAATTACAGATAATTCGTTTTTATGGMAAGTAAACGACCTAGTTTATAAGCATATAAGTGAAAGGGTRCAGAGATCAAGAGAAAGTKGGGTTTCAAACACAAGTTCTAATGGATATTAAAAGACACGGAATTAGAACAAATTGTTGACACKAGTGCGCGYATATCATAGCATGCGCGGMGGCTCAAGGGCGTAACACAGCCTRGTATCGAGTTTCTGATTTTAATTATCACAAAACCGCTTACTATAAAAAGCGTACAAAACATAGCGACATAYTATAAACGAGTTGAAATTCCTGTAAATAATCTCTGGTTATCTTTTTAATTTTGCTTTTGCGTAGTATAATATTACACGAAACAGATAGTCAGTGTCGGCAACATGCGAAAAAGTGCAAGAATCAAGACAAGCCGAATCTCAATTAAGATTATAATTACGAATAACAAAGTTTTGRAAGCCATACAGAATGAAAGATTTTTTTCCCAACACTTCCATTCTTGACTGACCGATTTTGAAGCACGTAATAGTAAAAAGAAATCATCGAACACAAAAATTTCCTTTTTCCATGGGGAATGGAAAACATATATTTAATGTCAACCAAGGTCAATCTTTATGTAAAATTATGTACGAATTCGATAAGAATCAAAAATCAATAATTTTAGTTTTTTAGGGATCAAAATGGGGGTTAGGAACCATCCATATTACACCACCTCCCCTCTGTATAAGCTCCTGGTATGACAGAAATATTACATTATTTTATTTCTGTTCCTTATCATATCATMATTGGCATAGAATTCATGTGAAATTTACGATCAGAGTTTGAAAACAAAACGCACTGCGGTGTTTTTATACTGCCCGGGCTCCATTTGATGATCATGACGTATGTGATGAAAAAGCTTCCGAGTATGTTAGAATTATGAGTGCTTTAACCAGCCTATACCCTTTCAAAATACCCATCATTAAACTTGATTAAATCCCAAAATGGTGAATTAACTTGTTCGCAAATTATACCATTAATCACGAAAATCAAGTTCGTTTTCCAGTCTGCTAAAATTAGTAGCATGCCGCAAGCAAGTGATACATATAAATGAATAGATAAAATAAATAGATAAATATATATATATGATATCAAAGAGGCAAGATTTTGCTGTAACTCCGAGTTTCGTGCTACGCACTCATCAGACAGTAGTTTTTTTAATGGGATCAGCCACTTCCTCATACGATTAGATAAATAAATATAAGCATGAATGAAATATAAATATCTATAAGTATTGGTACATAAATAGAAAGAAAAAGAATATATAATATAATGCATAAACTTCATTTGTGTGTTATTATTAAGATAGGATCGTGTTTATAGTTGTTTTCATTAACCCGTGAAACACACTTTAGCGTATTTATCGCTATTACACTTTAGCTCTTTTGTTTTTTATTGTCTCTACTAGGCGACTATTACGATCTATTACACTTTTTACTACACTTTCTTGCACGGGTTTAGTGAAAACCACTCCAAACTGTTCTATTTAGTCTAACTCGACAAGCCTATTTTGCAAACAATTCCAATGTCTAATAGTTCTAGGAAAAAACGAGTAAAAATATTTGTTCTTTGTTTGCCTTATCTCAGCCTACCCTGATTCCAGAGGCTTGTCCTTTATTTCTTTTGCTTACTATGTTATAGAGCCGCGAAGCGGCGAGACGTTTCCGTTAATCGGTTTGTTTCTACGCTAAAAACCTGAAAAACAAACCGATTAACGGAAACGTCTCGGCGCTTTCCAGCTCGATAAAATAGTAAGCAAAAAAATAAAAGGCAAGCCTCTGGAACCAGGGTATATCTCAGTGGAAATATTTTTAAATTGTGATTAGCTCTAGTTTTGTAAATTCTGTATCTGGGTGGAGATGTTCACATCTATGTCAATTTGACCTCGGCTCATTTTGTAAAGGAAGATAAGGCGTGCCATACACCTTATTCCAAAATGGCTGACTAGCCCTTGATGTCTCGTTTTCATAAAATTATTCTTTTGTCTTTCAGCTTGAGTGACTTTAAAAGCAAAGAACAATTTCATGAAAACGACACATCAAGGGCTAGTCAGGCATTTTGGATTAAGGTGTATTTCGCGGCTTAACTCCAAGGTGGATCACTGTAGTTCACGTAACATTTCATTGAAGCTTGCAATAGGAGTCTATTATCCTATATTATAAGACTTGGGACAAATTTTAACATTCACAATATCCTGATGTTTGGTGTTGATCAAGTGAATATTSAGGACTAGCATTGATTTACAAAGGAATGTGTGGAAAGAGCTGATAATCGATTAACATCGACATCAGGAATTTTCAACTGCTCTTTACGTTATGATTGCACCCAGTCTTCTATCTCTTATTTCCTGATTTTGTACCGTGAGAGACTGAGTACAAGTATCTTAATTGTCATGATGGTATGATACGACCTATATAGCGGRACGAAAGACAACATTGAGAAATAATATAACTGTCCACTAAAGTCGATCACATCAATAGAGGTTTGCGATTTTCTTATATGATTTGTCCCAGTCTCCCACCGTATGAAATTATAGTTAAACCAGTAATGGGCTTAGCCTGTGTACATCCGTAACGGATGTACAGAGGCTATAATGGGCTCTTGGTTAAACGCATTCTGTCGGAACACCGCTTTCTCCACTGTACATGGTAAAATAACTGTCATCAGGTCGGACAAAAAGAACACGAGGTTCTCTGCGAGTGACATTTTTCTTTGCAAAGTAAGATGGGAGAGCGAAATCACTTTGACTCTGATTGTCGCCAAGTCCTTCACGAGGTCTGATTGGAGGACGATTTTTAAAGATGACTTGTGGCTGACTTGGATTCGAGGTGTTTTCTGGGTTCGTTGATGACTTCTGTTTGATTTTAAGGAATTTCGTGACACTTGCTCGAAACCTGCAAAAAATGACGATAAAAGTATTACAGTTGTAAACATCCGTCGAAATCATTTTTATTTTCATATGCCAGACTTTTTATTTTGATGTTTCGGGTCTTGTTGTTGTTCGGTTGAGTTTGGTTTGGCACGCCTAGCTTGGTTTATTTTTTTTAACGACGAACGCAGTGGAAGGGTAGGGTTGATTCTCRTGTCTATACGTAAACAACAACAATAGTCAGTTCACTCATTTAGTTGTTTTTTTTTTTTAGGGGTGAAAATATTGTGTTTCCACGCCCTTTTTCGAAATAGCCTGGTATCTTTTAGGGTGTTTTTTTAAATTTTTGACGATCATTCCCACCCTAAATACGAGGGAATTCCCCAACCCGGGGGCTAGGAATATTGATAGCGTTGAACGTGGTGTGCCTAACAGAGCTATGGATAAATTTAAAGGTAAGTTATACACGGAGAAAAGAMAAAACAACAACAATAGCAACAACGAAACTTGTCGGACGTTCCCTTCTCTGAAGCCCGAGAATTTAGTTTCGAGAACTTAATGCTCGACTGAAAAACAAATGAACAACTCATTCTAAAAAGAAACATAAAAAATTCCGTATAGATGAAGTTCGACGTTTGATCCCGTTCTAAGTTCTTCTTCAGGTTTAGCGAGTCGGTATTTACGTTTGTTTCCAGCTGTTGCTTCACAGCACCTACAGGAAGAGGAATGGTAGACTGCGTACATCCGGTTTATTTTCTAAATTAACGAGTAAATGCTGGATAAAATCAGGGTAAGAGAAGAGCGGCGGCAATTYAAGAACTGAAACCACTTTGCATGATCTATTATTGACCGAAAAAGAAAGAGTAAGCTTCCTAAATCGCTAATTAAACTACAGAAAATGAAACTTRCTTGACTGAAAGATGAATTGAGTATCAGATAAGGCCCTTGAGAAATAAACAACGGAAAGCCATCACATAATTCTAACGTAATTGGTTTTGACTGAAACATGATCGATCAATATTCGTTTGACACAAGTGAAAACATCGAATTCATTCGTTTTTACACCAACATTTTTCCCATTCTCACTGTCCGTCTTTTATCAAGGTTATCTTGTCGTTTTTAGGCCTTGAAATGACACGAAATGTGGATTGTATAAAAACGAACACCCTCAGACTTCTCTGTACTAATACCATATGAAGGTTTGGMTTATCTCTTCATAAAATAAGTCAATAAGTCATAAAAATGCTTATATTCAGTWAGTATAATTTTAATTTTGCTATCATAACATTTTAAATTAAATGCTATATATATACAAAATAAAATTGCATATGAACTAGGCCGTAATAGTGACAAGGAAAAATAGGTAAACATACCTTGGATTTACAAGCGCGTAGATAAACGGGCTGTACAGAGTACTTGATTTGGCCACAAGAGCTGCAATTAATTCCGTTCTGGTATCAATCAGATGCGATCCTCCAAAAGCTGTAATAAAGACRTAAACGCAATATGGCAACCAAGCGATCGTAAATGCTACAATTGCCAAACCAGCCATTTTGCTGATGTTGCGAAAACCTTCCAGTTGCCGCTTTGCGCTTGAAAATCGAGAGACTTTTTTAAGATGTTCATKAATTGCTTTGTTGATTTTCCAATGGTAAACGCTTGCTATAGAAACTGGTATAATGTACGTTAAAAAAGTTAAAAGTAATATGTATATGAGGTCGGCTGTGCTCTCGGCATTCCAATTCGGAGCGCAATTCATATCKGCACTTTCCTTAAGCATACTTGTCCAACCTGCTAAAGGAGGCAGCATCGAAAGGAAAGAGAACAACCAAACSACAAATATGACCTTACGATGCTTGTTATCGTYAGTTGGATGGTTAGTGAATTCGCGTAATGTAAAAGTATTATATATTTTGACTGTTATGCATGTCATCGTGGCGATCATTGCAATAGAAGCTATACCGCCCAGAAAACCAACTACACGACACACAGCATCGTTGAAAGCCCACTCATTGGCAATGGATGAAGCCAACGTCGATGGRAAACTTCCCACTATCATGACCATGTTTGCTGCTACTACATTGATCAAATATGGCGTTAAGGACTTGGTCTTGAGATCGTTAGATCGTATGAGGACTACCAAAGTAACTATTTGAATAGATCCCCCTACTAGAATCAGAAAACACATGTAAATTGAGATAATGTAATATTCAATTGGGGTTAGGCGATCCATTGCAGCATTAAGCTTTGATGAAATACAATGATACGAGTGACTGGTAGAGATTGTTGATCGAAGACTAGTCGAAGTGCGGAGGAGGTGGCGATTCWCTGGTCCAATAAGAAAAAAGCTGAATAGTCATTTATGATCAGTTATCCGTTAAYTGACATCCAAATCGTTCTCACCATTAAAAAAGTGCATTGACAACTGCTTCTATCCATGCACCTTTCAATATCGGAAACGTTTTAATCTCACGATGAAGTCATTGTTAGAATTGTCCAAAATGACAAAACAACTGCTCCCATTACACTCAACCTATCTCCATGACGTACTCGACTCTGACGCTAATCAAGAATGTTTGTATTAGGGTGATTTCTTCGCATAACCCTTTTTAAGAATGATGAGCGGTGAAATTACGTGAATCATCTGATCCCAAAGAAAAAAATCCTGATCTCTTATCCTAAAATATCGCTGATACCTGATTGTATATTAACTATGTATAAACCATACCCTTATATTTTTTTTTTCTAATTTTATATTTTTTTAATGTTAAACTGTCTGTTTGTTTTATTAAAGCAAAGGTGTTTACTAAAATGTTTTTACTMAAATGTTTGCTCAAATGTTAATGTTTACTTATTGAATCAAACCTTAATCTTTTACTCCTTACGAGTCAATACAAGTCAAAACAAATATGAACTTCAACTAGATTGTCAACCTATATACGGCAATGTGAAACTAATATTATTTTTCATTAGCATCATGCTATTTTCCATCATCATTAGAAAAAAATTCGTTATTCAAAATCGCTCCGTAAATAAAACAATAATCTTTCCCGTGAGCTTGCACAATAGTTATCGATTTTTGATTTTTGATTTTTCTATATAAGCAAAATATGATTCTCGCACCGAAATAAACGGTTTAGACGGTAAATAATTCTGACAATATTAAACTCTGCAAAAAAAATATATATATATTTAAAAAGTCAAATGATCTTTTTGAAAAAAGAAAACGAAAAAAAGCAATGAAATAAGTATTCTTTCAGGATTGCACTCAGCTAACATGGATCTTTTAAATTAAAATCATTAAAAGATTTTTACAGATAGATTAGGTAAAGTAAAGGGCGTCCSATCTCKTCCGATTTCAGTTCGTGAATTTCTATGTCGTCATGTTTTCTATTTATTAACTTTTTTTGACGTCATTGTAAAGTGAAAGCTTTATATATTTTCAGCTTGCACAAAGATCATACAGTAAATTTATGTTTTGCGATTTTCGATTTTTTTTCGATTTTTGAATTTGAATAAGGGCATGGATTGTATATATCAATCACTGGAAAAAATCGCGCTCCTGGAAGGTTGTCAAAGTGTCCAAAATGATRAAAATACTTACTTACATCAAATTTACATCGTTTTTACATCGTTTTTACATCAAATTTACAGCGCGATTTTTCAAGTGAATTCAGGAAACATGAGTAAAGCACATTAGAAAATGGCATTTTAATGGGTACTTYGTATRCTAAGTACGGAAGACATCAACACATGAGCCACTGATTCTTTCATATATGCAATGCAACGAKAGCTGTATTCTAATGAAGCGCGAATCTTAATTCATTCTCAGTAGAACAAGCTCGTTTATATGGCTCCCAACACYGATAGATAAAGGTAAGTGTCACCAWATCAGACGAATATTGTAAAATTTAGGGATGATCTAAAATAAATAGTGTTTGTTCTTCATAATCCAACAACCATTAAAGATAAGGTCACATTTGATCTGATCTGATTTATCAAGATATACTTATACTTTTATTTGGATTTATCAGCTAGACTTGGCAGCCTATAGCATAGTAATATCAGTATTTCATTTCTGTTGAATCTTATTTGAATGATAACTCACTTGATGCATTTSCTCTCATTGACTTGTTCTTCCATGTGGTATTATGTGTACGTTAGTAGTAGCGCATGCTCAATAGGATCTCAATATAACTCATTCATATAATGTGTTTCCTCATAAGTAACGACATGATTAAATGAAGCCGTTTAAAGAAATTGAGATCATGTTTTAACCGGCCGTAAAGTTTTTCTGCTTTTAAAGGATCTTTAAATACSCGGCACTTAACATGATATTTTGACATGAATAATTGATGAACGCTATATTGCTTTTTAAAATAAACTGATCTTATAAAAGCCGAAATTTATTTCAAATTTAGAAAGAAAATTAGCGTGGGACTATCCAAGTGTCTTCGAGGCAGTCGGAAGTTTTCAAATAGCTCTAAGCAGGAAGCCAAAGTCACGGCAAGGGACTAAAGCAAGGAATCTGTCAAAAAAGAGAGAGAAACGAGAATCGTGATTCACTTTGAACTTGTCTGATGAAGAATAAAAAGCAACACATATTCCTTGTCATACGATAAAAATATTTCATAAAAACTAGCAGATTTCTTGAGAATCCATAGCCGTGTGGGTGGAATGCGAATACATTCAGTAGATTTATCGATATTTTTTGTGTGCTTACTGGGTTGCCTTGTAACGAACGATGTGGGTCCTATTATCCACACACGGAAACGGCCAAAACTGTCGACGCTAGACTGATTCCATACGTCGTAGTTTTCTCTAATCGCTTTTGGTTAATTTGGCTGAAAAAATCTAACCGAGAGCGAACTGGGAACGATTTATGTTGACACATGAGTAAGTATAGTCCGCATGCACAATGGGTATTGTTTCGTTGAAGCAAGTATTCTTGTAGACACAGCCCGAGGAATAGACTGAGTTAGAGTTAGGGTCACGTGTCCACTTTGACTCTATTTTGAAACCCAATCATTACCCTGGATGCTGTTTGTTTCTGATTGGTCGGTTTAGCCGTGAAAGGTTTGCGGAAACACGAGTTTAAATCAAGGAAGTGGAGAGTGAACCCCTTGTCTCTTGATTGACTGATAGCTTCGGCCACAAAGCACGTGAAAATCGATCACATTGGACTTTGATTACCGAAAATGCCGTTAGAGAGGAGGACTTTGATTACCGAAAATGCCGTTCTAAGAGAGGAAGGCTCCTACTATAATGGGCTCCTGGGTATTTGTTAGTTCAAATCGATTTCTCAATTTGTTTCTCAACAAATTGGCTCCTTATTGTGAAATGGAATTTTGAATGTCGTCAAAATTCGCCTACCAACTAGTTACTATTTCCCCTTCCAAATGGCTGCCAGAGTCAATGAAGTTTAGTATTTTTACAAGTCCGTTGTCACTATTTWGTTATCTTATTAAGTTTTCGTGTTGACGGAAACAGTTGATTTTTTAGTACAGTTATCTTTTAGCTTGTCCGGTTCAGTTCAATTGATAGCTTATTTACTCCAGTAAGAACGACACGTGTCTTGCCTTGACCACACGTAGAGGGAAGTATCTCCGGCCCAACAACTGAAAATATTTGGATAAGGATAAGTAGTAAACATTTTCACTTTGGAGACTGTTTTTGAAAATTCCGGTCACGGTCGGATATGCGTTTCGTAAATAATTTAGAAATGTTTTAAACTAAGTATTTTGGGGRGGGGGGGGGGGGGGGGAGAGAAATATCAGGTCGAGGTCTTGAAAATACTGGCAGAGCGCAGCGATGTAAGTACAGAACGATCAAGAGAGTAATTAATAAACAGTTTATTATAGATTGTTAAAGTCGTAAGCAAATATAGGTAATTTTATGGGAAAAGCGACGTACGGGATTTTATTCACGAGTTATTTGCCGCAGTATACGGCAGTGTACCAAGTCTGGTACCAAGTCAAGGAACGGAGCGGGTGAAGCACTTYATGCTATAATCTTTTATGATCTGTATAGCAAAATGTTTATTTATTCGGCATATTTTTTCCGTCCTACGGAAACGTATGTAAGCCTAAATTTACTCTTCGCCTTTTACGGTTTTTGCAGCAATATTTGCTCAAACCAATCCTACACCTCRAACGGTGCCATTTTTTAACGCAAAGTTTCGCCACATGGGCACCCACGATCGAAATTTTCTAAATTCCACGAAGTATGTCCTCTTGTTTAACATGGTTGGCGCCATCTCATCGTCAAAATTGTTGTTCACTCAAGAGACGAAGTCGATTGTAAATTTACGTATCGTTATTTTTCACCGGTGAAAATACATCTCGATACATGCAGCATACCGATTTATTTTGCTCGATATAAATTAGTTTCGTCTAAGATTAGTAAATAATATGAAAGAATTAGTAGTTTGCCACCGTTCCCTCTTATGTTAGCAATGTAATGAACTYCTGCTCATAATACAGTCAATTCCATCATTTTAAAAACGTTTAAAAACGTTGTTCAGTTGTAAAGAAATAGACAGCAACAAAGTCTACATATATCAGATTTGTAAATTTTTTGCAAGAATATTCAACATCAAATTGAAAAATTCATTGCCATGTCAATGACATTTAATAAGCTCTTTATCTGGTGTTGTAAAGAAAAATAAAAAACATTTTTTATGCAGATGACTTTGTCTTTGATTTTTGTTGTTTTTATGCCTTTACAAGCCATTTTCGAATTCAAAGCAAAAGAAACCTGCAGCTGCTTTATTTGACAACATATCTCTTGCGCAAAAACCTTACCAAACACAAAAGAAAGCACGAGAAATTGTCACCATTACAATAGCCTTGAAAATTTGTATTTTTCCCGAGTTGAGGCTAAGGTTTAAGCCTTATCATAGTTAGTAGAGGGAGACTAGTCTCACTCTAATAACTACATGGCCGCTTGCGGTAATACAGGGTTCTGAGTCTCAACTCAGGAAAATGTAAATTGTTATGGCTATTATACTTACAGTATTTTCTTATGCTTTCTTCAGTTGGTGAGGTCTTTGCGTAAGAGAATTTGCTGTCAAATAAAACAGAGGTTATTTGCTTTAAATTCGAAAATGGAGTGAAAACATTTTGGTTTGGAGGCTAAGGGATGTAAGTGTAAATAACCAAATTTGATACAAATATCAAGAATTTCAAAGTTCACCTGAAAGAAAATCAGTGTTCACTCTCCACTCCCACCCCCCTCCCCCCTTCCTCTCGAAAATCCAATTTTGCGTGTTGATAGAAACTGCAGGTGATTTTTTAGTACAGTTATCTTTTATCTTGGCCGGTTTTTCCACTAGATAGCTGTTTATCCTAGTAAACACGACACGTGTGCCTTGACCACACGTAGAAGGAAATTTGTTTCTTTGTAAATATTTTTCAAGAAACAAAAATCTTTGAGTCCACGTAAATGCTTTCGCCCTGGAAATCGTTCTTGAAGGTTTCCTGATAGTTGATCGGTTGTTTCAGAAGATAGCTTGTTTATCCCGGTCACAGTTGTCGCCTTGACCAATCATAGCAGGATGTGTATGTTTTCGTAAAAACKTTTTCCACAAACAACAATATTTGCGTCCACGTAAACAGTTCCTCTCAGTTACATGATAMCATAAATAAAAAATAAATGATTTTTAAAGTGTGTGGAAGTCCATTTGCCCTCCAGCGCTGCTTAGTTATCTTATATAGTGACATGAAAACAGTGGATTTTAACAGTTTTTACATCTTTTATTAGTCATTGACCAGTTATTTTACGTGATAGCTTTATCCCAATAAATACCATAGCATGTGTCCTCTGGACCACACGTAGAAACATTTATTTCTTTGTGATTACTTTTTCAGATTCAAAAATGTTTTGGTCCACATAGTATTGTCACTTACTATGGAGACTTTTTTTGGAAATTTCATGACACAGTACGATATGCAACCTGTATTTTCTAAGAAAAAGAGGATATTACATGGATTCGCGGAGATACGGATTTTATCTTCGAGTGTTGAAAAGATCTCTCACGAGTGAGCGTAGCGAAGAGAGAGGAGATAAAATTTGTATCCCCAAGCTACCATGTAATATTCTGTTTATTTACATATGAAAGCAAATTATGTTGTAAAATAGCTTTTTTCTTACTTCCACTATATAGAGAAACCCCGAATGTGCTATTTTCACTAGTRAAAATATCAACTTTACGCCATGGAGAAATATAGGTATTTCATAGATAATTATATGATAAAATAATTTGAGCTACAAAATTATCACATTTCCAGCTACGCATTGACGGGGTCTAGAGGAATTTCATTCTTTTATTTGGAAACGGTGGTTTAGTAAAATTACAATCACCGCAACCTCTTGGTGTCTTTGAGTTTGGGAGGTTGAGGCGGATCCGGAATACCTGAGAAAAGTATTGTACAAAATATTTGAGGAAAAAAGTTATGGGTGCGGAACATTGAAAAGAAAATATGGAACTGGGAGTTAGAAGGACGACGGAATAAAGAATTTGTCCTCAACAATTCCGCGTCAGCCCAATAGAGTATTTTCTGGGTTTTTTAAGATTTGTATTTTAATATAAGCGTCCCAGCAATGTTTATCGTTGTAATAAGGAGCGTTTTGAAATAAAGGTWGTTGTTGCTGTTTTTGCTGTTGTCGTCGTCGTCATTGTCTTTGTTATGTTTTATTCATATTCACATGGTTAAATTAAGGACAATCGTCACAAAACTGTGTAAAAACATACATCTACCATATTGYTCGATTTGCTCCCTCAGCATTCTTAGCCCTAGGTTACATAGCTAATAAGAATACAGGATTGCCTAGTATATTTGCAGTGAATGGTAAAAACGAAAAGCATACGTGGCAACCTCAGACTTGAATGAAATGCGTGCATCAAGATTTTGCGTGATCACTTGAACTCGATCGATTATGCACAGTGGAATCTCGCAAAAAACGAGGAAAATTCCCAATTGTGACTATAAAAGAGCCTTGTTTATAAATATGTTTGCGTTGTATCTAATGCTTTCCTTAGCTGTCAGCAAKTTTTCACATTGACATGACATCGCTTTCTCTAGTAAAAAAGCTATCTTTATCCACAGCCGGTCGTACAACAAGAATACGAGGCTCTCTGGAAGCTGCCGCATTCTCTGTTCCCTTTGTAAAGTAGGAAGGGAAGGAATATTCGTTCTCTGCACTMTGATTGTTCTCAAGTCCTCCCCGGGGACGAAGCTGAGGATGGTTACGGAATATGATTCGAGGTTGATTTGGACGAGAGGTATTCTCTGTGTTACCCGAGAACGATAATGTTGCACGAGCTAAAAAATTCACTGACGAAGATCGAAGATGCTTGATCTTGAGAAAATCCATAACATTCGCTCGGAACCTACAGGAAAAAGAAATCTGTATTGATTAGCTGTTCTATTGTTAAATATACTTTGTAGCTAATAGTTGTCTGGAAAGGCTTGGGATAAAATAGCATTTCTATTTTCCCCATATTTCTTGTGATTTGAATGCTCTGAAAACCACAAAAGCTTCGGCTATTTTTTATGGTGGCAAAAAAGTAAATAATATTGAAAACGCAACGCATACAAAATTGCCSTTTTTTGTTTTCACTACCGCAGCGGCCTTATGTGAAGTTGGTTTATTTTTSAGAACATTTGTTTTCCGGTACTTAATTAGTTTGTTAGAAACTGAGCACTCTAGAACTGTCATCATCGTACACAGAATCAAAATTGTCAACAATAAACTTTATCGAAAAAGATCAAATATAAACAAAATTTTAAGATAAACAGTTCCTGAGAAAAGCAAAACTGGTAAAATTGTGTATAAAAATATACAATGTTTTCGATGAAAATGAACGGTAAAGCAAAATATAATTAATTTTGATATTATATTGATTAATGTACGATATTTGTGTGAATGGTAATACATCACCGTTTAAGGCAGAATAAAAAATAAAAATGATTGATTGAATACCATAGGCAATTTCCACGATTGCACAATTTCCCTACCGGAATATCTWCGRCGGCATACACCTGGTACCTTACACGAGGATTGCTTTCCTTGGCCATGTGATGTTTAAAAATAGRTCAAAATCGCGGATCTYRWGCTGTTCAGAAAKTCGACGCTWTGTCTTGACATCAGAAAAGCGACAAAATCGAATRGAATRATTGTTCTGTTATTCAAAACGAATGATTTTCAATACGGYATASGGCTAGGCTTGATCTTCAAGATAAACTCAATCATAATGATATTTTTTCTCTATTGGGTAYGAGCACCATGAGTGCGACTCGTTCGTAATTAACCAAACGATATCATACAATAAAAACGTTTACAACGTTTAGCTCAGATGATTTTCAACGCTGTGATCAATCCTTTATTTCTGCGCAATTAGCACCTCTTTACAGTGACTCATACAATGTATGGGAGTTTGAAACAGTCTTAATTAACCTAAGAATACACATGACCGGATCGTTATACCACCAAACTGTGGGCTATCACAAATACAGCATTCTGRTTGGCTACCAAACTATTGTCTATTCTTGATAGACATGGTCAAATCGAATGAAGCAAAAATAGTCAAAAGACGTAGAGAAAAGTTGTCCTTTACCATATCTTTTGTCAAAATAGACTATTCGGTCTCATCGGTGATATTCCAACGGATGAGTGGCTACACAACGAAGGATATTGTCTTATTCCGGCGCCACTAGTATATTTTTCTAGGAACTGAAATTGACCAATATTTCTGATAGGMAATGATACTTATTTAATGAAGAAACATCGTAATTTAGTATATTCTAATTGTAATGTTTGCTTCAGGTTTAAAAGATATTAAACAAGTATWTGGCACCCTGCTTGATTTGTAAAACTGCTCCGGCCGTGAATGTAATTGATCTACGGGCAAAAAACAAATGAAATTTAAGTGGTTTAACACAATCCAATTTAACTCAATTTGTTGTTGATTTGTTACATCGCCGGCCTGCATCACGCTATCAGAATTTGTTAGTTGGRCGAAGTAAGCGGAAAACATTACCTACATAAGCGGTTTAGAATATAGACCTCAATACAGATAATCCCTTATCAGTCGAAAATACAGCACAGGAAAAATGACATTAGTGAACTAGACGAAAAGATTCAACACTGAGAAGTGGATGAAAATGATAAAAACAATAAATGGACAAGTAAAAACAATCGCATCATTTAGTAATAACAAAAAGCACAAATACAATGAGCCACAATAGACAATCTACTGAATCGTGCTAATTCGGTCATATTGATTCKTAATTCATTAAGTTTGATCATCCATTTTCCGATGTTTTCAGAGRAAATCCAGTAAACACGATAAAAGGGGGCCACCTGCAAATGTGTGCGATAGCTTTTTATAGATGTGTATCGTTTATGTATGGGCGAGTTTGAGATACCCAGACTATCAGTCTAACTCTAAGAATAAGATGTATCTGCGAGAAATTACAAATAGACGTTACGATTTGACCAATTTGGGTGTTGAAAAAATAAATATTTTTAATATCAAAAAGTGTTTGATAGCTTGTTATGGTAGTGCTATACAAAAACACGTCTGGTATTTGAAAAACCACAAACACATTGATTGAGGAAAACAAGAAAATGAGAAGAAATAGATAAACATACCTTGGGTTTACTAGTGCATATATGAAAGGATTGTATAGAATGCTTGATTTAGCCACAAGGCACGCAATTAATCCCGTCTTGGTATCAATCAGATGCGATCCTCCGAAAGCTGAAATGAGAGCATAAGCGCAATATGGCAACCAAGTGATCGTAAATGCTACGATTGCCAAACCGGCCATTTTGCTGATGCTGCGAAAACCTTCCAGTTGCCTCTGCGCGCTTGAAAATCGAGAGACTGTTTTGAGATGTTCATTAATTGCTTTGTTGATTTTCCAATGGTAAACGCTTGCTATTGAAACTGGTATAAYGTACGATATAAARGTTAAAAGTAATATGTATACRAGGTCTGGTGTGYYCTCGGCATTCCAATTTGGTGCGCAACTCATATCGGCAGCTTCCTTGATCGTTCTTGTCCAACCTGCTAAAGGAGGTAGCATGCCAAGAATTGAGTACAACCAAACCAATGATATGATTTTGTATTGTGTCAAGTTTTGATCGCCCTTCAAGCGTTTTTTCAATCCACGTGAAACAAGAGTATTATATATTTTAACTGTTATGCAAGTCATCGTGGCGATCATCGATATGGCAGCTATACCACCTAGAAAACCTACTATACGACACACAAGATCGTCAGTRAACGCCCACTCATTGGCAATGGATGAAGCCAACGTCGATGGGAAACTTCCCACTATCATGACCATGTTTGCTGCTACTACATTGATCAAATAYGGCGTTAAGGACTTGGTCTTGAGATCGGTAGATCGTATGAGGACTAGGAAAGTAACTATTTGAATAAATCCTCCAGMCAGAATCAGAAAACAAATATATGTTGAGATAAGTTGGTATCCAGTTGGAGTAAGACGTTCCATAATCGTGCCAGCTATACTTTAAGCTTTTGAAGACACACCATTTGAACAAAGTACTGATGCGTTCTACAAACGACACACGCTTCTATAAAAAAGTGATTAAGGAAAAGCATACATAAGATAATGTACTAGATGATGAACAGAGGGGCGGAGTTTCTCTAGTTCAATCAGGTATCAGCCGAAATAGCCACTCATCAAACGTCCATTATCCAAAGCATTTGGCAACAATAAATAAGCAAACTGAATACGATAAAAATATTTCGTGTCGTTTAGTAGATTGGACTAGATGCCAATTAGGAAAAGATCCGTTACTGCGAGACATTTATTT